AAAAAAAAAAAAAAGAAAAACATAGGATTTAACATAAGTATGAACCTGTACAAAAGCAGGAGATGTATTCCTAAGTTGTAGCACCTCTGGGCCCACATTCAACCTCTTAGGATCATGATACACACTAGGGTAACGTAGGGATGGTATTCGTACCTAAAAAGAAGGTAGAATTGAAAATTAATAAAGAAATTGCTAGGGTTTAAAAATTAACAAAATTACAAGCAAAAAGTGAAAATGTTAACAATAAAGAATGCCTGTTCAACACGTTTCTCAATTCCATCGACATTTTTATCTAATATTTCCTCATTATAGACAGCCATCAAAAAAGTTTCAAGCATAGATATAGATTTTTTTTGCCGTTTTGCCAGAACCGTCAAGTAAACATGTATCAGAGAAGGTAAAAACTGCAAAGCAAAATACCTCAGAATTCCTGAAACAATCACAGCTTTATGATACTCTTAAAAAACTCAATAAAAAGCTGAAATTTTGAAGATAATTAACGAGGTGTGAGACTTCATGTTTACAAACACGATTAAAAAATGTGCTTCTTTCTTCATTCCCAAACTCCTCGTTTTTCTATAAACTAAAATCAAAAGGTAAAAAAAATAATTACCTCCACGATAATAAGATGCCAAAACTTGGGCAAGAACAGGTTGTGTTTTATTAACATCAGAATAACTAGAATATAAGAAATTAACAAGATAATGAGAATTCTGCACTTCTTTGTCAATATCTTTCACAGCTTTTTCACCAATTTTGAACTGTTCATTTACCACTGTTAACCAATCTTGTAACTGTTCACTATTCATTAGGACACTAAAACAACTTTCTAGTTTAATTAAACAAAAAATCGTAAGCTAGAAAACCGGGTACAGTTTTTTTGGCGTTAGGAACGGACACCTCAATCTCACAAATGAGGATCTGTACAGTGGAAAGAACTGAAACATCTATTATCTCATAAAATAAACTTCTGCTGCAGATAAAGTGCATGAACAGTAGAGAAATGCAAAACTGAAAAAAAAAAAAAAACGATAAAACCTTGCACCACATCATCACACGTATTACACACTAAGCCAACAATATAACAGTATCAATAGAGAATCACTTCTGAATCAATAAACGATCTATCCTAATGCCAAACATTCAAGCTTTGCAAATAAATAAATATTGACACAGCAGCCTAATTTATCAACTGAACTTCCCCACTGAGATCCAAACTTACTATCAAAGTGCTAACCTGCCTATCCATACCATGAAGTTACTTTTTGTTTATTTTTTTTTCCCCAGCATTTGACCATAAAATTCCTATTGCCACCATTACAGACCGATATTGAAAGCCGGCATTTTAACGTCGGAAGCAAGGAGTTTTTCAATATAGATTTTAATGAGGACATCTTCCGAACAATTTTAGAAACACTATGATAAACAAACATTTCAAAAAAAAATCTTTATAATATAATCCTCCCAAAAACTAACCTGTTCCCAAAGGTTTTGCTCAAATCAGTGACAACTCCACTCTTTATCTACATTTTTAAATAATTCGTTCTTTTCCCTAAATGATGTAATTCTTTCACAAGGCGCTTAATGCCCGTCGGACCGCTCCTTCATTCCTCTCTAACCTAAGTACAGCTTTTTAATTAAGTATAATCCACAAAAAAATTCCTCTTTCGCTGCTGTGATAGCAAAACTACTGTTAAAAGACGGACCAGTCCAATACAAAAATGACTTATATCAACATCCAGTCAATTCCAAGCTTCTAAACGCGCCTCAAGAAGGCGTAAAATCCCACATATGACGCTAAAAATTTAAGAAGCAACTTACTTAAATAAATAAATAAACAAATGGCTATTGATAATCTACTTCCTTCAGCAGTCGTACAATCTAAATATAGGCGAAAAAAATTCAACGACTTTTAACCAGTAAGAACAACTCTTACTGTATACCGCTAATAACAACACTTTTTTTATCTTTGGAAGGGGGGAGGGGGAACAGTTTATTTTTATAACAAAGAAAATGAATTGTAAAAAATTCCATGGAAATGAATAAAGAAGAATACAGACGAATGCCGATAGAATCGATTGCACCAAATAACCAGTGACAAAAGAATAGTTGCAAATACATAGTCTGTAGTTAGTCGACAAGTATATTTAACTGTATTTGTCAATTACTCTTTCAAATGCTTGGTTTCGTGTAATAATTCAGTTAATTCACAAACTGCTAATTATAAAAAGTAAATCCACATTCTAACCGACTCATCAGTAGACTATCAGTAAATCCTAAACTTTAATACAGTTAAATCACAGTTGCTGCTTCTGATACTTAAAATTTTTCGCAACAGCAACCAGTTCTGAAAGACCTTTGACACAAATTTCAAAAAAGAAGAAAAAATTCTGCAAAAAAACACCAAACAGAAAAAAAAAGAAGACCATACAAAACCTTCTATTCGAGAAATAAGCAAATGCCACTACTTATCACAACTATTACAAATTCATATTACCCCAAATGATTACAACGATCACTTAATATCCTACAAACTTAAATAAAGAATAAAACAGGAATTCCCTCAAACAACTGTATAATGAAAATCTGCATACGTTCAGAAATAACAACGTTTTGCAGCATAACGTTTAATGCCTCTTCGTTACCAGAGAGGAA